TAAACAGTCTACTAACTCATGATGTCTTTAAATCAAAGTCTTTATCCATTTTGACAATCACTGCGCACCCGCAGTTTGTCCTTACACTTTTTCACCTAAGTCAAGAGGCTGGCTGAATCTTCCACATTGTTCTCTTTCACTCCTGGAACAGCAGAAGAGCCTTTTGCCATGTGATATTTTCTTCAGTCTCAAGGTGACCTCCCTATAACAGGATTCTGTGCCAAAAACACAATATCAGTCAAGTAAGAGCAATAGCATCTTCAGAGTAGCTTTACGGAGAAAGGGTAATTTTATCCTTTGGGAAGACATGTCGTCTGATAGTAATGTTTTGAGTTTGTACCACTTATTCATGGAAAGGGCCAGCTTTCTTGCCTCAATCATTTCAGCTAAGAACAAGGGGGATTCAACAAAATATGGCTATAAGTTAAGGAACCACAACATCCAAATCTAAGGGAAGCACCGCTATACATATCAGCAAGCAATGATGCTAGATGACTAGCCACTATCAAAACATGATGTGCTAGAAGAGAAGCTAGATAAATGATGATGTTGCTCGTAACTAAGATAATCACAAAGGAAGCCTAAAGCACTAGTACTCTTTTCTGCAGGTGGAACCGAGTACTTCATTCACTTGGTAAGGTCCCTAAGTTTTTGCAGGTGGTATACACTGTATGTGGCAATGCAATTTCAAGCTGCCAAAGAGCCAAAATACATCTGCAAGGAGGAGCAATGAAATCACCTTTGAGAACTGTAGTTAAAAAGACTATGTAATAGTCTGAGGATTATTTTTAAATCCTTTATGACTCCATAAGAATATCAAATAGTGGCACGGGGCATTACTACTTCAAAAACAGTTCTCAAAACTTCTGGAGTTGAGCTTTGCCACATCTGGAGCAAGGAGATACAAATGCAACAGGTTTACAGATAGCATATTAATTTAGTTTCAGAGCTTCCTAGGACTAGATTAAAGTAGTTAGAATAAAACGAAGATAGTAAATACTCTGGAAGGGGAAGGAGAAAAGACAAACAAAAGCCAGTCTTTGTAAAGATGGCAAAGAAAAAGAACTGGGTCCAGTATTGTTTAACTTATTCATCCGTGACCTGGATGAAGGGACAGAGTGCACTCTCAGCAAGTTTGCTGATGATAGTAAACTGGGGGGAGTGGCTGGCACACCAGAGGGCTGTGCTGCCATTCAGAGAGGGACCTCGACAGGCTGGGGAGATGGACAGAGAGCAACCTCATGAAGTTCAACCAAGGCGGCAAGTGCAGGGTCCTGCCCCTGCCGAGGAAGAACCCCATGCAGCAGTACAGGCTGGCCGCTGACCTGCTGGGAAGCAGCTCTGCAGAGAAGGACCCGGGGGTCCTGGTGGACAACAAGTTAAGCGTGAGCCAGCAACGTGCCCTTGTGGCCAAGAAGGTCGACAGCATCATGAGCCGCTGCACTAGGAAGCGTGGTGCCAGCAGGTCAGGGGAGGTGACCCTCGCCCTCTACTCAGCCGTGGGAAAGCCTCACCCGGAGTACTGCGTCCAGTCCTGGGCTCCCCAGGACAAGAGAGACACGGAGCTCCTGGAGCGAGTCCAGAAAAGGGCTACTAAGATGGTGAAGGGACTGGAGCGTCTCTCCTATGAGGAAAGGCTGAGGGAGCTGGAACTCTTCAGCCTGGAGAAGAGAAGGCTCAGGGGGTCTTAACAACGTGTATACGTATCTGAAGGGAGAGCGTCAAGAGGATGGGGCCGCGCTCTTCGCACTCGTGTCCAGCGATAGGACGAGAGGCAGCGGGCACAAAATGAAACACAGGGAGGTCCATCTGAACCTGAGGAAAAACTTCTTGACTGTGAGGGTGACAGAGCACTGGAACAGGTTGCCCAAAGAGGTTGTGGAGTTCCCTTCCTTGGAGATGCTCAAAACCCGTCTGGACACAATCCTGGGCAATGTGCTCCAGGGCACCCTGCTTGAGCAGGGGGGTTGCACTGGATGATCTCCAGAGGTCCCTTCCAACCTCAACCATTCTCTGATTCTGTGAAAAAGCTATAATATGCTATTTCTGACACAGAAAGAAACAGAGCTGTGCTTAACTACTCCTTATTTAAAAAGAAACACAAAACACCTTGCAATTGGAGCTTTTAAGAAGTCTCCTTTAGGTTCCTACAGGCAAATCTGGAAATATAATAGAAACAGCAGGAGAAGGAAAAACCAGCAGCAATTCAAGGATCTCATTCACTGACAGGAAGGAATGCTCACCTAAGAGATCTACTGGTATCTGGTTCCAGCTACGCCCCTTTCAGTTACAGACTTGTTGAGCTTTTCAGAAACATGTAATTAAATTAATTAAACTGCATTATTGAAATAACACATAAATGTAACATACAGAACATACTGAAGGATTTTTAGGTGGCAGGTACTGCGGCAAGCAGATGCCGAAAAGTAGATGAGACAGCTAAAAAAGCTGCTACACTTCGGTATTTATGAGCCTATCTGAATAAAAGTCAAACAAAGATGATTACCTTCATTCATGATCTTTTTACAAAAAAAAGTCAGCTAAAAAGTAAAACTTCATAATTCAAAAATTTGTGCACTTGCCCTCATCAAGCTCCCCTCTTTCAAGCTTACAAGTGTCAGGACAGCACTGCTTAAGAATTTTCAGTATTTCTGTTTTCAATAGCTAAAATTTGAAAGAATTTTAACACTCATGGGACCCATCAGACTAATTCTCTCAATTGACCTCTCAGATAGGTATAACACAGTCAGAAGCACAGTATGCATTATCTGTAGGCTAACTATCCTTTATCTTTAATGAGACTGAAGGTAAATGCCAACTAATGGTCCACTGCTAACTACAGTAGCGGTTGTCATAGAGAATTTACTCATGTCACACTGGGCAATCAAAAGCCATGTAACAGAGATTTCTCGTCACAAGCAGACTCAGTTACTTTGAGACTTTTGGTATTAGAGCTGAAAGCCATAGTCTATTCCCATTCTCCTCAAATCCTTCTAAGTGCAAATCCTGTAAGTTTTATGTAGGCCACGTTTAGGTTCCTAATGTTAAAATTAGAAAAATTAGTAGCAAATAAAATGAAAAATGAGCTTTTCTCCCATGGCTGTGTTTAATATTGGAAGTAAGTAAATGTTGTTTCTACAGAATACACTGGATTGTTAAATTTTAAGACCACATTCTTTTTTTTTTTTTTTTAATAAGAATATTTTCTATCTCAATTACAGTAAAATAGAGAAAGCTAATACAAAACTTAATTTCAACAGTTCAGAAATGATAGAGGTAAACTGAGGCTACTGAAAGACCAACATACCCCTAAGAACTTGGAGTTGTAACAAACTGTACACCTGGATACCTCATTTAGCAGATCTGTCTACTTACATTGCTTATTTTTACTTTCTCCTCCCATCTGCCTTAAAAAAATCCACAAATATAATTAGGTTTGGTAGCAAAACTTTAAGATTAGCTTGAAACAAAAGTTTTCAGTACCAAAAGCAAACCATGTAATTTACTCTGACAAAGACTGTTTTGTTAGCATTTATACCTAAGACAAAACTTCTTTC